TGACCTTGAAGTTCTCGTCGATGTCTTGAGCTTTAAGAAAAGGATCCATGTTATGGGAGGAGAACTTCTTGACGTTGAACTGTGGCAGATGTGGCGCCTGGGCTTTAGTGGCTGTCTTGAAGGCTGCGTCCAGGTTCTGTGGAACCGCTGCGATGGGATCAATCGGTGGGAGAGTGAGCGTGTCAACATCATCATCTCGCATAAGACAGGTGTGAGCCGGATTATCGTCTTTCGATGGTGAAGCCAAGTCCAATCCATTAGCCACCCAGTAGCGTATTTCAGAGTCTGAAAAGATGATGCCGCCATCATCCTCAGTGACAGGAGTGCTGAGTAAGGGACGTTGATATTCCTCCGATGGTGACCTGGGTGGAGATCTGCGTGGAGACCTGCACGGAGACTTGTGGGGCGAACTTCGTGGTGACCTTCGTGGAGATCTGCGTGGAGACCTGCGTTGAGATGGCGTGGTGAGTGGCCCGGCGAACTGTCTCTGTAGGGTGACCTGCGCAGAGAGCTGCGCGGAGATGAGCGACTGTGGGTTCGCGAATGTCCTGGTGAATCCCTCGACGATCTGCGTGATGAGGAAGATGTCTTGGATACTGTATCTGAAGTCCTTCGCGAAGGCCTTCGCGAACGCTGATCACCTGAGTCCGCATCTGGGGATTGACGACTGGTCCTTCACGAACGCTGGTTGTTCCAATCCTGAGTCGGGGATGAGCGATTCCTCCTTCGCTAAACGCCCAGCGAGCGTTGATCGTCAGAGTCCAAAGCAGGTGAAGACCGTGTCGTCCTTCGCGAATGCCTTCGGGGATGCTGATCGTCCGAATCCTCCGCAGGGGGTGGTTGAGTCGACCTTCGCGCAGGTTGGTCCGGGAGTGTAGTTCTGCTGGCAGAATTCACGTTGATGGAGGGCCCCTCAGAGATGATGTCTACGTTGGAGCCTTCGCGAAGGCTCGGGACCTGGGCTGGCTGTGACTTCTTTTCCAGGCCGTAACGCTGCTCCATCATCATGATCTGTTAGGAGAACTGCTGCATGAAGTCGCCCGGGTTGCAGGTCTGCGGTGGTACTGGCGCTGCCCTTTCTGCGGTGATAGCGACGGGGCCCACTGGACGGTCATCTGTTGTCAACGTTGATACCTCGGGTTGAGTAGAGATCTGCGCTGACGTCACCGTAGCTGAGACCGGTCGTTTTTTGCGCTGAACCTCTGGGATGATGATCGGCTGATCATCATATAGACCCTGTTCCGTCAAGGGGACAATCTCGGCAGAGAAAGTCCGGGTTGTCTGCGCTGACTTCCCCTTGGAGGTGGACGATGCCCTGGGGGTGCGGAGTCTGCGCTGGGTGGTTGACGATTTCCGAGTCTTAGGCTGCGATGACGGGATGTCTGGAGTAGCAGGTCTCTTCTTGGAGATGGCGGACTTTGTCCCAGGCCCCTCCTCCGAGGGAAACTCCAGCGGAACACCAGACGGTAGGGGGTCGTCAGACAGCAGTTGACTGGTGAGGGACTCCGCTGAATTATCCATGACTGGATCAACCCTTCTCGACCTATCTGCAGCACGTCTAAGGATGCAAAGAAGGTATTTATTAAATGCACAAGTAGGTAAATGCTTGCAATAAATGCAGCGTGAGCTGAAAGAACATGGTACCGTGCAGCTAGGGCACAATTGATGAGGGTCTGCAGCAGAGAAACGTAGTCTACATACGGAACAGATTTTCATGAACGTAAATACTGAACAAACACGGACTACACCGTGAATAAACAGTGCTAACTACGATTAATTATCAAACCATATTGTTGAAGGATACTAGCCAAACCTCTATAATAGTATAAAAGAGGTATCTAACTAAGTAAGAAAAGGATATAGTGCCGTAAGGAGACACAGGCGCTCTCACAACCTGCTCACTGGGCGAAGAAGGAGAGAGTGAAGCATGTGGGGAACAGTGGCGCCAGTTTCCCTCCAAAACAGGAAAGAGGGATAACTCTTGGTGAGTAGTGATTAGTGATTTTAGTGATTTTTTTTATTGAAGGCCAGACGTTTTTATTGAAGGGAGCTTCAATAAGGAGATACAAGTGTTCCACTATGTTCGCAAGAGGAAAAATAATAAATATTGTGAGTCACCATGACTCCCATTTTTAAAAGTCTACGTAAAACCTTGATAATGTAAAGTGAAGCCTTTAGCTTATAACAGGTGTCCTTGTTGAAAAAAACACATAATTGTTTAGGTCTCTATAGTTGTACAACAAAGTATACTCTGCAGCAAAAAAAACGTCAGTACGAATTCAAAATTAGATAGGCACTGTAATCAAATCATTACAGAAATGGACATTATAATATATGGATTAAAAACATTTTTTGTGTACAATATCCTGACACATCAATGAATAACTCAGTGTGACCACCACGAGCAGCAATAACTGCAGCACAGCGTCTATGCATGGAGTGCATCAATCGATTGATGAAGGCCATTGGCACCTGGAACCACACTCTGAGAAAGGCCTGGGGCAAGCAATAAATCGGCTGTGTTCGGCCTTGGTATGACATTATTCAGTCTCCTCTGAATTTTTTATCCCAAAGATGTTCAGTTGGGTTTAAATCAGGACTATGGGCTGGCCACTGCATAATGGTGACACCATTCTGCTGTAGGAAGTCCCGTGTAGCTCTGGCAGTATGGGCCCGGGCGGTATCATGCTGGAAAATGTTGTTCCAGTGACGTGCGAAATGTGGTATGACGTGGGGTCTGAGGGCTTGGTCAATGTAGCGCACTGCTGTGATGATGCCTCCTCTCCCTGGACCAAGGTTCGGGTTCATCACAGGACCAAGGTTCTGGTTCAGGCCTATTCCACCCCATACCATGATGCTTGCACCTCCCCATGAGTCTCTTTCCATAACACATTGGTCTGAATAACGCTAGCCACGACGTCACCATGTTCTTGTTCTGCCATCTGCAGTTGAAACGCAGTACCGACTCTCATCTGTGAACAGAACTGTTCTCCATTGAGTGTATCGCCAGTTTTGGTGTTGTAGGGCAAACTGTAGACGTTCACGCTGATGATGAGGGGTGAGGATAGGTCCACGGTAAGGTCTACGGCAATGGACGTTCCCGCTGTTAAGATGTCAGCGTACTGTATCAGTACTGATTGGTCTTCCGTGTGTTCCCACTGTCTGGCGTGCTGTTTCGAATGCCTGCATGAAGGGATTCTGTACATGCTGTCACACAACATGGTGGTCTTGTCGTCTTGTGGTCACCCTTGGTCTGCCAGTACGGGGACGATCATTTGTGGTGTTGGTGGCCCGGAAACGTTGCTGCAGCCTGTAGATGGTCCGAACGTTGACCTGGAAGTGATTGGCCACGGCTTGTGCAGTGTGGCCAGCTTCAAGTATTCCCAGCGCCTGGTTCCTCCGAGCTGTCGTGAGTCGCGGCATCCTCCTGACTTTGTAATATGAATGTTTCAACCAGGTTTGGGGGTGCATTTTATAGGGCTGGTCCTTGTGAACAGCATGTGTAAAACATGGAGAACACTGTACCATCTCTGAGATCAGGTTGAGTTTTTGAGACCATTTCCTGGGTTCCATTCTGAGTTTGGGAAGGAATGTTTTTGCTAAGGTAAAGTTGGAGATGTTGTCATAAATATACAATCAAAACATTAAATGAGTTTACAGTTATCCGTTTCTGAAAAGGAAAATTCCAAACTGATGTTTTTTTTGCTGCTTAGTGTATTATAAATAGTGGAGGGTTCAGGGAACCCCAGAAATACGCTTCACATTCTAACTGATAGAAGAATGTATCAACATATTGGCAGATAATCCTTTGAAGGAAGGACATTGTTTTAACACAGGCTGTTTACGACAGAGTGCGGGTGTATTCAGTGTACGGTAGTAAATCATCCAAGATAAAAAAGGTAATCTCCCAATTGACAGACACCCATTTGACAGACAGTCGATTGACTTATATTGATTTATCTTTCAAAGTAAATAATATAGCTTCAGTTTTTTCTTGTGTTTTTATTTGGACTATTCCATTATAATGTGTTGGTAACAGGTAGTAGCTAATCTGAACCGTTAATGTTGTTAGTTTAAGGCGTCTGCGAACTGCCAGTCTGAGTAATGGGAGGACACCATAAAAACACTACCTTTTCACTAATACACTGTGCAAGTTAAAGTAATAAGTCAATCAGCATTAAATCAAACCAAGTCAACATTTTACATGACAGATGCATTTACTCCAAAGACACAGTTATCTGATTATTTATATGTAGATTATTGAATTACCCCTGAAACTGGAAGGGTAATATTAATAAGCATACATTAAACATTATTGAATCAATTTATCAATATTAAGCTGTATTTCTTGGATAATGATACATTTTGTCATTAATGTTGTGTTTCTGAGTATTTTCGACTGCATAATGTCAACAGGAAACCAATGACATATACCAATAAGTCATTACATGGTATAGGTAGTTAATAGTAGTATAGGTAGTTAATAGTTATATTAATCTGGCCACAAATGTGGTTGCCAGGACATTTGTGACCAGATTAATCTAACAAGGCATATGACAGTAACAAACCGGCATCCTCTCTTACTAAATGGATTGCTTGACCATCTATGTCCGGGTTTGCTTCGCGGGAGCCCACAGACCATAATCGGCTTGACTTCTTAACTGACATGTTCGTTATAAACATGACAAAATAGTATCTCAGTTGAATATTGTATCCCGTTCACGCTTTCTTATGTAGTGGCAAATTGTGGAGACATTCCATAACACTGGCAATGGTAAAATATATAAATGACTCATTCTCAAGTGCCATTTCGTTATTAGACGTGGAATTACACATTGATCAGGTGCTAAGAAGAACTTAGCAATTCATGGCCTGTTATGGCGACAGCCATAACAGGTAACCTCAATGTATACAAAGAAAGTTCATTAACATACCAGCTGCTAATTAGCACTTAATAAAGACTATAGGTAACTTAAATACGATATTTGTTTCGCACGAACCTGTCCCACTGCTTCCATCTTGTTTCACTTCCAGGTCGGGTAAAGGTGAAGGCCGCCTATTTTACTGTTACCTTTATTGAAACGAAATAGGATTTGAACCAAATATACATCAAGCACATTACAACATGTTCGTCACTGTGAAGATAACATGCAGTTTTGTAAGAATATGTTAGTTTCACATCCTATAAAATAAATATTGGACATGAAGTAAAAATGACAACTACCGCAAAGTAAAGTTCGTTTCATGTTTGTCATGTTCTTTATATGAATTCATGTGAAGCACTTTTCTAAGATTAATATTGACTACTAGTGGCCATCAGACGAATGCTGTCATATATCACACTGGGGCGATGTTCGTGCCTTTACAATGAAAAGTGTATTATGACAGCTTCCTGCCATTAGTTCCATACATTATCCACTGATTTCTACTAAGCAATTTTACTCAATGGCATGAATTAAAAAAAGTAAAAATAGAAAGGTGTTCAACTAAAGGTGTGTAAAAGGTGACTTTTCACAGAACAAAATATTTGTACAATATAGGAAATAGACTATAGACACCAAACCTCTACCTGTATAGATTTTTATTCTGTAAGCTGTATACCAACAAAGAATTGTTAGAAATGCACTTAATTGACAACAGTATTTGTTCATTCTTTGAAACTGAAAACGAATCGATTGTACACGATGCGTTTCTTGAGTGCTCCCGTGTTAGAAAGTAGATGGTTTCGAATAGAACATTTTATACATGCACTATTCAAGTTGATAGTAACTGATTTTTGCCTGACTTTACACCAAAACCTAATAAAATGGACTTACCCCTTACATTCGTGTTTGTGATTATTTAAACAATCGTGATAATGTATTTCGTCATTTTGACATTATAACAACTTAGCTAACATATGTGTTTTGTTTTATCTAATAAGGATAGTGCCATGAAGGGTGAGAGGTTTAAATACGTTCACTGCTCTCATGTTTTCTTTGACGACCTTGCGGACTTGCTTTGGAGATTTTACGTGCGATTCCCAACAGTTTTAGGTAATGTAGCTTCGAGTTTCAAAACAATATAATTATATAGAACTGATCAACTTTTAACCTCAACACCGTGCTTACAATTCCACTCCACTGAGAATATTTCAGTCTCACACACAGACACACACACACGCACACACACACACACACACACGCACACGCACGCACGCGCGCGCGCGCGCACACACACACACACACACACACACACTAAAGTCATCATCATCCTTAGCCATTAATTATGAACGGAAAGCTCAACTCCATTGCACGATATATTAAACGTCCTGCCACTCAAGACCCGTGAAGGTCCGGGTCAGAATATTTATCTTCAGTAACCCATGCTTGTCGTAAGAGGCGACTAACGGGATCGGGTGGTGAGGCTCGCTGACTTGGTTGACATCGGTTCCCAATTGTGCAGATTGATGCTCATGCTGTTGATCACTGGATTGTCTGGTCCAGACTCGATTATTTACAGACCGCCGCCATATAGCTGGAATATTGTTGAGTGTGGCGTAAAACTAAACTCACTCACTCACTCACTCCTGCCACTCAAGCATGGAAATATATTCAAAAACATCTTGCTTTTGGAATTACCATACCGAATTTGTAAATGACATGAAAACATTGCCTTTTTAACTTGTACCTCTTTTGAAGTGAGATATTTTGCGGAAGTGTGATTTATCTTTAGTTTCCCCCAATTGCATAGATGGCTGGTCATGTTATTGATCACTGGATTGCTTGGTCCAGTCCGTCGGCATATAGCTGGATTATTGCTGAGTGCGCATTAAACAACAAAGAAGCAAGCTTCCAATACAGTTCTTTTTTAAACCGGATATATGAGGTACTTGCCAGTTATCCAGTGTGTGGAATGTGTTGACAAAACATGTGTCTAATGATACCTTCTTCAGAAGTGGAGTGTCCCCCGCCGTGATATTGCTGGAATATTGCTAAAAGCGGCGTAAAACTAAACTCAGTCAGTCAGTCAGTCAGAAGTGGAGTTATAATGGCTGGTAGATGGACTGGTTGGTTGGTGGTTGTTTAACTCTGTACTCAGCAATATTCCAGCTATATGGCAGCGGTCTGTAAGTAATCGAGTCTGGACCAGACAATCTAATGATCAACAGCATGGGCATCGATCTCGCAACTGGGATACGATGACATGTGTCAACCAAGTCAGCGAGCCTGACCACCCGATCCCGTTAGTCGCCTCTTACAAGTATGGGTTGCTGAAGATCAATTCTAACCCGGATCTGCACGGGAGACAAGTATGGGTTACTGAAGATCAATTCTAACCCGGATCTGCACGGGAGACAAGTATGGGTTACTGAAGATCAATTCTAACCCGGATCTGCACGGGAGACAAGTATGGGTTACTGAAGATCAATTCTAACCCGGATCTGCACGGGGAGACAAGTATGGGTTACTGAAGATCAATTCTAACCCGGATCTGCACGGGAGACAAGTATGGGTTACTGAAGATCAATTCTAACCCGGATCTGCACGGGAGACAAGTATGGGTTCCTGAAGATCAATTCTAACCCGGATCTTCATGGATTTGGTAGCTGGAACTAATCCTTTTCATTGCGAGGTGTTCAATAAAGATGAGATTGCACGTTTTCAAGTTGATTAACATGAACAAATCTGCTACAGGTACATTATTGACTTGTAATATCTGAGAATACGTTTCTAGAAGAAGGGGCTGAACTGCCTCTTTCTGTTCAGATTTATACCTTCTGTCGGTTATAAGGCGCTAAAAGTTGCAAGACTGACTGATGCCGGACGGCAGATCTCACGCAGAGTAAAATCTGGGTCCTGGTGAGTAAATATATCTCATTTCTGATATTTACGGAATATTTCTCTGTCAGGTACCTTCGAAGACGTTGAGGATCACGAGTACAAACCCATCCGACTTGAAAGTCACTTTTTTCTGTTTTTAGCAAAGACGTATTGAGCACCAATTCCCATAAAAATATTAACTCATTGTTTCTCGGGCACATACATGTTAAAAGAGACATGTAGGACGTTTGGACATCTTCTTTTTGAAATAAACATTTGCTGCGGTGATCACAAACAAGCTGAGTGAGTGAGTTTGGTTTTACGCCGCTTTTAGCAAAATTCCAAAAATATCACGGCAAGGGACACCAGAAATGGCTTCACACAATGTACCCATGTAGAGAATCAAACCCTGGTGTTCGGCGTGACGAGCTTTAACCACAAAGCCCCGCCGCCCCAGCACAAACAAAGAACAATAATAAGACGAATCTGCAGTTCGAATCCACAATCATATTTGTCTGAGTCGCTCGATCAACTGAACTCCATGGAAAATTGCATCTCGTTGGACGACTGGGCAATCCATTGTTATAAGAAAACGTTCATATTTACACATATTTCAACAAAATATATTATTGGCTGGATATAAGTAGGAGCATTTTATGGTTGGAAATGAAAACACAGTATCAGGCATTTCATCGCTTAAAGGTCACATGCAACGTAAAACACAACTTTGCAGATTCTGATACCTTTCGGTATGGACTTACCGAAACAAATCGTCAAAAATGCAAATTCAACTTATAAAGTTGAAAAATAACGCGATGAAAAAAAACGCGCGAAATCGGAGTGCAAACGATTCACTAATTTCCCCCGACTTTTCGGGGCAAAACTGGTTTCAACAGCTGGGCTGCGCTCATAGCACGTGCGCAGTGAAATAGGTTCGCGCAGCTTGGAAGCGGGTTGTCGGGTGAATACTCGGTGAAGGCTTTGGTGTGAGTTATTTTCCTAATGTTTTGTTGATATCTAACAGGTGCGAGCTTTTTATATGTTATGACAGTAAATAAACTGTTTATATAATTTCATTTGTCTATTTCACCACACGTTCTTCTTACCGAGTCACTTTCTCAGTTCGATACTTAAAAGCAATGTCATTATTTAGCGTTGACAGAATTTCTAACAGTGATAGAGATATGTCGTTGTCACAGACAAAACTCAATGTCTTGTTTTATTGACACCTGTGTGTCTGCCTGCCTGTCTGCTAATGACAATATTCAATACACAACTGCGATCACTGACCACATGCAATTTGAACTTAACACCAATCAGGCTATACACCATAAACAAAACGCATTGATTTATGGCCCGAGTTCGGTCTCTGTCACATTATGTAATTACACAGACAGGCAGGTGTGATACTTGAACACATGACATGTTATGATGTCTGTTGATTGCAAAATGTTATACACAAAAAATGAGCATGTATTTACAAAACCCAACATCTCTATATATACACACACAATGAGCCGTGAGGGCTTCTGCAAATGAACTAGCCGTTACACTTGAGTGCACACCCACCCGCTCTGACTTGGTTCGGTATCCCGACTGCTTCGTTTCTTGGGAAGTAAACCCAAGTACACAATATTGCACTTTTTATTTGCGATTGTACGCTTATAATTTTGTTTATATGTTTTTTCATAACCAGCAATGTATATTATATGTCATGAATAAGTGATAATTGTGTTTTAATTATGTTTGATTTTTTAGTTGCATGTGTTACAATAAAAGAAAGCTGGCCTTGCACAGTATATATCTATCCTGTGTATCTGGAAAGTAGAAAATATTTGTGCTTTTAGTTGGTGTGTGTGAAATACATACCTTACATGCAGCCAATTATTACCTTCATTGATTGTCAGGTCCAACAAGACAAAAAGGCTCACCACGTCTTCTTCGTTGTACAATATTTACATAAACAAATGTCATATCAAGTTTGAAGCGTTGTGTATTTCACACGCGTGTTCGGCAGCGTTGTCACGTGGGGTAGTGATTGTCATTTTAACCAATCAGATCTCACTTCCGTTGCACGAGTTTTTGGTGCGCGTTTGTTCCAGACTCATTGAAAAGCAGAAGTCGTTTGTACCTGTGTATATTTCCACCAAACTAAGAGTTAATAATTAAAACAGATATGAAAACGAGCTATTTATTGCAGTTTTTACAATATGCACGATAGCACTGAAAGTTCATCCGGAAAGAAATGTTTTATGAAGGCTGGCGACAGAGAAGACTCTATCTTTATGAGTTCTTGCCGAAGGAACTTTAAATATTTCAAAGGTAAGTGCATGCAGGAATATATAAAAAAAAAATGGCTAAATTTTATACAGTTTATTAAAACATGGGTACTACTCTGTTCGTTAACGAGGGAGTAATGTGTAACAGCGCGTCTGTCAATATGCTAGAGTTTCACCGTATTGAGATACTTGGAACCACAGTAAATGTCTCCGTGATGCAAACAATAGAGCGTCTGTTCGGACAGCGGAGGGTTGGTCCCTCTAATCGCGTCATGCCACAAAAACCGTTAAAAGATTTTATTTGTTGTGACTGACACAGGTTGTAGTGAATCGCATGTTGTCCGTTCTATGTTTCGTAAAAGAGGCATCATCAAGTTTTGTTTTTGTTCCTATATATACCATAATATGGTAATGGTGACCTTTTTAATATCAATGTCTTGGCCTGTGAAGATCCGGGCTAGAATTGGTCTTCAGTACCCCATTCTTGTCGTAAGAGGCTACTAACGGGATCGGGTGCTCGGGCTCGCTGACTTGCAATGGTTGACACATGTCATCGTATTCCAATTGCGTAGATAGATGCTCATGATGTTGATCACAGGATTGTCTGGTCCAGATTCGATTATATACAGACTGCCGCCATATAGGAAATAATATAATAACCTATAAACTATGTTGTCTTGCGTTTAAGTGTCTCTCTGGAATGGCGCCAAACTATCTGTCCAGCCTCCTCGATATCTACCAGCCCACTAAATCTCTCAGATCAGAGAACAAACGATTTCTTCTTGTCCCTCGGGTCCGGACCAAACGATTTGGACATAGAACATTCTCCTATTCTGCTGCTACTGCCTGGAATAGCCTACCCATTGAAATCAGACTTAGTCAAGACTATTGTTCTTTTCGTTCTTATCTCAAGACCTACTTCTACAGACTCGCCTATTCCAAATGATTCCTACCACTGTTCTGTGTTCCTTACTGTGTGCACCTTGAGCATGCATTGCGCATGGAAAAGCGCTCTATAAATGGACTATTATTTATTTATTATATAGGTGGAATATTGCTGAGTGCGGCGTTAAACAGCAACCAACCAATATATTGCCAATTGTCCTGGAAGCAATGCATTGGATTCAGTTCAATTTATAGATGTCATTGTGCCTGTGTGAGTAATGCCTAGACGACTAAGGTGCCTGGTCATTCTGCCATTCTAAGAAAGCCATGTTACGCTGGACTTTCCCTGTGAAGAATGTGGTCAGTAGATATAGAGGGTGTATTTTGCTGGTCAATATGTTCCGAGTAGCGGGGAAAGTATAACCCTCCGCATGCCTGGTGAAGTGTAAGAATGAGTTGCGGGTGCTGTCCACACCCAATGATACCCCAGTTACCGTAGAAAGACAATTGCTGTGTCAGCTGAGGTCATGTCGAAGTCTGATCCAATATTTTCATAAATCGGTAAAGATTTCAATCTGAAGTAAAGATTCATAAAATCTCTTCTTGCTATGAATTGCGTACTATAGACAGTGCAATGACAGTTTTATCTCGTTAACTAAAATTCCATAATAATTATACGAGATGTATCTATTGAGACGATACAAAGGCATTTCTTTTACACTTTCTGTTCCTCCTTTGTCCCTAGTGAGAGACACAGTTCACCGGATTATGAAAACGAAAAATATAAGGCTTTTCAGTTTGTCGATAATAAACGATGTGAAAGTAAATTTTAACAAAAAAATGGAAATAGATTCTTGACAACTGACAGCAGGCAGTAGACTTTTCTAGTTCCATGTATACAACAACATCGCTCTCTCGTTACATGTATATATACAAAGAATACTGTTGTAAGCAAGTTAAATATCTCCGGAGATGAACACTAAGGATCTCCACTTAAAACATAATACCTCTGAGTGTGTGTGTATGTATGTGTGTGTGCGTCGTGCGCGCGTGTGTGTGTTGAAAAAGGTAAAGATAATATTACATAAAGACAAGTTTAATGAACAAAAGTCGTCATGTAGAACACAACGCTAACCGACAGTAAGTGAGTGACCAATAGTCTGTCAGATCACCCGGCAAATGACACATCTCAGAAGCGGGTATATGGTCCAGTGTTGTGAGGTGAGAGATCAGAATGGTCGTATCAGGGTCTCCCAAAATGCCTCGATGGTTGCCAAGGAAAGATTGTGTAACTCTTTTGTCGAGTTCACGGTCATTTGTAAGTGTGGCGGCAGTTCCGAGGAGATAACTTCCTGCTGCAATTAGGAGAACCTGTCTTCCGCTTGTGTGGTGGAACGCTGTCGACCACCTGCATGTTGATGGATAACTGATCTAAACGTCTGGGGTCAACTCTATGTCGCTGATCGTACTTTGTCTGACATTTGTAACGTGGCGTTGTGTTCGCGACGTTGTGTTGACCCAGTTTGAAGCACGCCTACGCCAATGCCCCAATACTTCGGTCGTCAAAAGACGTCTTTGACACTGAATTCAGTTGTTACAATCCCCAGTAGTAAATGTTGTTGTGCCACCGAATAACCAAGAGGAACGAATCAATTAGGATACATCCAAACACAGGTACCCATGACACTTTTGATCATTGTGAAATTCAGATGTACTACTTACCGACTACTCATTAGTTCATTAATAGGGATTTGTTAAAACCAAAACATACGTAGCGTCTTAAAGAACTGGAAACATCAGTTTGGCCTAAGATTTTGAAATACAATGCTTGGCGGCTTTCAATCATTGCTTTCCAAGGTGATGGGTCTCGCATAAATGCACGTTATTATCGAAATATTTCTTCTTTGCGCTCTCTGACACGACCAAATCTTCTGTTGCTGACATCACATACATGTGTCCATTCTTTGCTCACACACATAGTATTGTTACCACTCAACTCTGCCCCCTTGCACTGTTGCTGTTGCTGCTGTTGCTGCTGCTGCTACTGCTGAATGTACCCTGCTTGTTCTATGGGAAATCCTGCAACTCCTGGAAACAAAGATAGTCATTCATTCACTACTTTCGTGTCTGTTCTCATCTTTTCCCAATAATAGTTATGGTGAAGAGCACTTTATTTACAGACTTTGTTATATTCGTCATTTTTGTTATCGTTTATCATCCTGCCTTCTCCCTCCACCCAGTCCCCTCCCCCTTCAACCACATTTCCATCTACCCCTCGTCTATGTCCCCAATCCTACATTATCAGCCGTCTAAGGCTGCAGTTTGTTGCCCCTTGAGCGTTAGAAGCCGGTGCTCGTGAGTTCAAGTCCCGGCTCGCTCTGATTATATTCTAGATTTGTCAACAGCATATTCTCGGGGGTTTCAATAAAGTGGTTTGAGTCAATAGTATGAGTGTGGTCCGTTCCACACCAAGCTGATATATTTGTCGAAATGGTATTACACCTCACTCACTCACTTATAGTAGTAACGTTTACCGTAGTGTGATCATCGTGGTTTTGGGGCATGCTAGGGTATCTTGTTGAATCAGGCTGTCTCCCTTTGTTGGCCACGCCGACCCTGAAGGTAGAAATAAACACTGATTATATCCATGACCCCAAACTCCGCCTTACGCCGTATTGTTATCAGTGACGGTGCTGCCGCTCTTGACACTAACGACGTCTTGCAGTTGTGTAACAGTCCGTAATGTTCATGAATAGCGCTTGCACCAAAGTGGCGTGTTTGCACGAAATCAGTAACCCGTTGTGAATGAACTGAGATCAGTATCTTCCCTGGAAGCATTTAGGAGCCAACTAAAAACTCATCTCTTTCTAGCTACCTACTAGTTTCTCCACTTTCTCTGCACAGCGCCACTGAGCAGCACTGGTTGGACATTAGGCGCTTAAACAAATGCATTATTATTATTATTATTATTAATCATTTCCTAAATCCATATACAATCATACAACTTGGTTCCCAATTAATAGCACCCCAAATTTTAATATCCCATCCTTTTTGTCAACAGTAAATAAGTAACCGTGTTTAAAAATAACGCTTGTTTCAGAGCAAACAGTAACGTTTGAAGCCGACATACTTACTGACATGTATATGTACTGAGGTAAGCCTTTCTGGTGCGTCTCTCTGCAACGGCGCATCTTGAGTTGGAGACATCAGATTCACTGCGGCATCTACCTCGACCTGAACTTCTCCGACGTTACCGCCCTTTTTTGGGTTGCGTTGCTAGGTAACCAGATTCATCTGGGAGGGTTTCGTGGTAATTTTGGCTTCCGTGCTTGTCTCTCGGTGTCTCGACTTTAAGGGATTTGCCTTTGTTTCTTGGCGTTGTTGCTGGGTTACGAGCTGACACAGTTTTATGGATAACTTTTTGGTTTTTATTGGAAGCAGCGATACCCATTATCTGGAATCGTGAAACAAATATGACATAAAACGTCAATGTAAGGATGAAAATGTTTTGATAAGTATTGCTAAGTTTCTGATGAAAGCTCGTAAAATTAGAAATACATAAATTTCAGTCAATATTCTACACATTAAGATCCATATGTTATTTCTTAGATATGTTATGCCTATAATAATAATAATAATAATAATAATAATGTGTCCATTTATATAGCGCCAAACTCCACACTAGGTATGCTCATAGCGCTAACAATCAAGGCCATTATTACCCCGGATAACCCAAGCTGCCTGTTAGGCGCTAGAAGGTTATAGTCATATACACTGTGCTAAAATTTCAGACACTTTACAAAGCAAAATTGTATGATTATTACAACATACTGTCACTTTATGACACTTGTGCAAATTGAAAGATATACATGTATTTCCTTAGATATATTCTACAGTATTATAAACATGTTTTAAGCTAGTCCAGATATAATAGCTTCCAACCCCCAACTGTAAAGGGAGGCATGATACACTGTACTGTAATAGATTCTGTTTATATTGCTATACCAGTAGTTGAAGAGGAATACCATTTAATTGTCAATGTTTAAAAGATGCATAAGATAGAATGTTTTCCACCATACCTATATATTGGTAACCCGTGTAAGGATAGTTTTGTTAGACTTGTGTCATCTAAGGATGATGTTTTGATAAGTATTGCTACTTTTTCTTTAGAAGGGTATATTATGCCTGTACATTGTGCAAAAATGGTTCCGTAGCTTTCAGAGGCAATAATGTATGATTATTACTGGTTTTACCAGCATCAAACAAAATGTAAAATTATTCTGTAATGTGGGCCATGGCCTTATATACTGAAATAAAACTGTCTGTCTGTCTGTCTGTAAGTGCAAAACTAGTCTTGAGGACGAAGTGAAATGGAAAATAAATAAAATATAAATTGTATTAAGTGGTGAAATAATATCTGCCTTTGTGACACAGTGGTTTTCAGAAATATGTTGTGAAATTAGTTAGGTAAAGTGATTAAAACGTCCCTTGACATGGAAATCTCGTCCTCTATCGCCTAAATTCAGTCCTGAATCCGGTGGTCGGTAAGTCAACATATTTCCATCGAGATCGCATGGTCATAGTTTTGGTCGCTTCATCCGAGACATGGCAATTTAGGTTTAAAATGTCAAACCACTCGTCAGTGCCCCTAAAAAAACTAACGATAAGAAATCTCTGCTGACGGCGAAGTCCATTGAGCAATTCCATGTAAAATCACCATGGGAACGTTGGCACAAACACATGCCAAGGTAAGCCAATTGTTTTACCTGAACAAACACGGTTACCGATGCGTCAAATGTGGAAATGTCCTCCACACGTCTACTAAAAACCTTTTTGAAAGCTTTTCCTGGGCCTTGGGTGACGATCTACGGCTCGATTGTTCATCTACAGATGTGAAATGTACACACCTAACTCTGTACGAGTGGTTGAGTTAAATTTTCGCCGCTTTTATGAAATATTCAAACAGTGTCACTGCGGGGGACACCAAAAAAGGGCTTCATGCATGTAACCATGTGGGATATTCGGTGTGACGAGCAAACGCTTTAATCATTGGAGCTTCACTGTGGTGTAACCAGTTTATTTAGTCTTCCCGTCTTGCATATTGCTCGAGGTGTTTAGTGCACTCCCTGCGTTTGTTTTACAGCGTCAACGCCATATAGGATATCGATGTAGTGGAAAGCAAAGAAGACTTAATATTTCAGAATGAAACATTCGTCAATGTTTCCTATACAAACCAGCAATCTATACATAGACAACGATGTCATACAGTCAATATTTGACCATTGTGTTTTTCGTTTTCAACAGTGTAAGTACATAGCAACAAATGTACACAACATGAACACACGGAGACAAGCTTTCAATCAGCTGGGTCGCCACGGGCACTTAACAACTAGAGCGGCAATAGTCAACAAATATAGCACATTAAGAAAACTGTCATTACAAGCAGACGCTAGTCTTGAGTTTGAATCCCAGATTGGCTGACATAATTAGTGGTTTGTTTGCGTCATCTCGCTTACAGAATGTGGGTGTTTGTAGTTGTCGTTTAACGCCGCACCCGGCTGTATGCTAGCTGAATGACGGCGGCCTGTAGATAATAAGACCTGGACCATACAATCCAGTGATTGACACCATGAGCGTCAAAAGGCCCCGCCGACAGATTTTGAGCCATTTAGCGCTTGTTCATTCACAGTTGGGTTTGATAGTTTTTAATGCTTGAAAAACGGAAAAGCATCTATACCGAATCGTCACAATAGTACAATAAAGAAGTTGGTCATAAACACTTGTCATCCTTAGACAAAACGACTACAAGCGAGATGTTACATTATTCGGCTCAGTAAAGTTCTTGAATATAATTCCTCATTTCCGTCAGAAACAAACGATCTGGAAAAGATTTTCTATGTTTACATTTTTTTTCGCAAGCTACGAAAACTGACATTACACATATAAGTACTTTCTCTCAGTGTTGCTGTACCTTCCGGTTATTTACTTTTTTCGTGCGTATCTAAATGAGTTATGTTTGTTTTAGACTAACGCTTAGCCTTTGAAAACATGTAGGTCCGAGATTAAGAAAGAGCTCCATTTATACTGAATACTGACGAGCCCAGGTGAGATGGAACATTCAGAGCCTGGGGAAATCTAGACTTGCTTCACTTAGAGTGTTTGCATTACAGGCAGTGCTGGGTAGAAGGGCAAAATGATGGACTGAGAGACAGACTATGCTTATTTTCAAATGTAGTTTGCGTATTATAAGCAAATACGCAGCTTATCTGGAGGTCTGGAGAGGTATCAATGCATTTACCTGTTGTTCCTATATCTCCCGTCCCTCCATTATTTCAAATCAGATGTCACACAATCGTGAACACGCACGTTTGCTCACCCACGGGTTATGCAAAAGCATTATATGGTTGCCTTTCCACATTCCTTAAAACGAAGTACTTATTCGTTACCATAAATACACGCTGATGTGCTTACAGTGCAAACATAATAAAATGAGTAATGAATTGATTAGGATTTAGGTGTGTATTTGCAAGATAACACACTCAAATATGGAACCAATATTTCGGGGAATAGCCGCGTCTGCTGATGTGGCGCCACTCAGTCACACCTTAGACATGGGTATGTTGAATTTAAACAATATAAATACAATACATCGCTGCTATACCGTCGATTTGATTTGGGGGCAGTGGGGTAGCCTATAGTGGTTAAACCATTGGCTCGTCACGCCAAAGACCTGGGTTCGATTCCCCACATGGGTACAGTGTGTGAAGCCCATTTCTGGTGTCCCCCGCCGTCATATTGCAGGAATATTTGCTTAAAACGACGTAAAACTAAACCCACTCACTCAATTTGATTTGAGAGGAAAGCTGGAACATATCCAGGTCCTTGGCATTGACAGCCGAAACCCACTAAAAGAGGTATGGTACCGACAAACCAAGATCCGGGCAGGATTATCGGTTCCTGGTACGACCAAGGTACGCAACTCTGCACCAAAACGACTGGAAACACTTATGACTCTTTACCGTTAATTGAGTAAGTGAATGTTTCAGTTTACTATGAATTCAAGCCTACCCAGAACAAAGCCCCGGCCTATTGGTATCTCATCCTTCTGATATTCTGATAACCAAAACCGGTGAAGATCCGGGTTAGAATTGGTCTTCAACAACCCATACTTGATCGGGTGGTCAGGCTCGCTGACTGGTTGACACGTCATATCTCAATTTCGTAGATCGATGCTCATTATGTTGATCACTGGATTTTCAGGTCCAGACTCAATTATTTATAGAAAAAAAACACAGGAAAAATACTTTTTTTTAAAAAATACAAACTTTATCAAAACGTTACTAGGCTGAAAACATTTGGCGAGACACTTTATATAACAAAATTATATCTACATTCAGCTATCTGAAAATAAAATGTGAAATACCGATTGTTTAAGGAGCGCGCATTCTATGTTAGGAGCAGGTAACTACATATTCTACTCAAATGTGGATAAAGAACCATGGAATATTAACTAAAGGTCTATGAAAGGACTTTAAGTGTAGATACTTAGAGGACTCCATGTGTATGAAGGTATAGCTGCAATATGCTCCAATTCCTCTAAATTCTGACATACATGTATATGTTATCTCGTGGTAACTCAACTCCTTTAAAAATAGCTGCAACAGGGCTTGTATAACCTTTGCAAACATAAATCTCAAATGGTATACTTACTATTTGGATGCCCCCGACACAGAGGCCTTGCAGACAGAAGTCCCGTCGACAAGCTGAGAAAAGAAATATGCAGGCGACGCGTTCTCTGGCCTGACGAATGACACGTTTTGTATCTTATATCACCGAACGATATTTCGTGTATCTCATTGCGTGTGTTAACTGGATATGTACTGGAGTGTCATGTGACGTAGAAACTCGCTTATTGTGACAGTATATGTACTTGTCGGTCGATACAGAGATGGCGATAACACTTGCCCACAGACGCTCGTATTACGGTCGGGAGAACTGAGAATGGAATGCATGGCCGGTCGCGCAGTCTGTATATAACCTAATCGTTCAGGATTGTATAAATCAATATATTCCCGTACAAATCGACCTGCACCTGTATGGAATTGGGAAAAAAATCTGAAGACGTGGTTTGAATGGTTTTGCTGTTTTCGAAAGGACACCAAATGAGTCTCATTGGCTCTTTCATTTGTCACTCCAAATATGGTGTCAGTTATCTGACACTGATAGCTACTGGAGTTGTTGTAATCCATCCCCGATAATCCAGTGATTATATCTCTGAGTAACTTTGCATTGATGAATCAATAAGAAGTGTAGTGCAAAGCGGGCAGACACTCAGCAATATTCCAGCTATATGGCGGCTGTCTGTAAATACATAAGTATGGACCAGACAATCGAGTGATCAACAGCATGAGCATCGATCTACGCAATTGGGATACAATGATATGTCAGCGAGCCTGACCACCCGATCCCGTTAGTCGCCTCTTACGACAAGCATGGGTTGCTGAAGACCAATTCTAACCGGGATCTTCACGGGAGACAAGCATGGGTTGCTGAAGACCCATTCTAATCCAGATCTTCACGGATCTCAGAGGTCTTCTGAGTTGGTATGTTTCTCATTTCCTATGCTCTAAAACGAGGAAGGTCACAATTATTGTGAAAATGAACCTACCTCTACTGTCATGAAACAGTGTGAAAATGTGCAATACTTGTAAAATGGCTGAAATGAATGAAATATTTTTAAAAAACACAACCAAAAACATGTTAGTGGGAATGACGACTGTACTTACGATTATTGCAAGGACAAAATGCCACATTTTCTGTAAATAATGCAGTCATTGTACTTAGGGGTTTTGGAAAATCCATCATATTGTTGGAGCCTTGTGTCCAGCTGGAGGGACCTGCCATGGTACTCACCATCACGGTCACCATCATGGTACTCACCCTCATGGTACTCACCGTCATGGTACTCACCGTCACGGTCACCATCATGGTACTCACCATCACGGTCACCATCATGGTACTCACCGTCATGGTACTCACCATCACGGTCACCATCATGGTACTCACCGTCATGGTACTCACCATCACGGTCACCATCATGGTACTCACCGTCATGGTACTCACCATCACGGTCACCATCATGGTACTCACCATCATCATGGTACTCACCACCATGGTACTCACCATCATGGTACTTTCACCATCATGGTACTCACCATCACGGGTACTCACCATCATGGTACCATCATGGTACTCACCATCATGGTACGGTCACCATCATGGTACTCACCATCATGGTACTCACCACCATCATGGTACTCACCATCATGGTACTCACCGTCATGGTACTCACCATCACGGTCACCATCATGGTACTCACCATCATGGTACTCACCGTCATGGTACTCACCATCACGGTCACCATCATGGTACTCACCGTCATGGTACTCACCATCACGGTCACCATCATGGTACTCACCATCATGGTACTCACCATCACGGTCACCATCATGGTACTCACCGTCATGGTACTCACCATCACGGTCACCATCACGGTCACCATCATGGTACTCACCGTCATGGTACTCACCATCACGGTCACCATCATGGTACTCACCGTCATGGTACTCACCGTCACCATCATGGTACTCACCGTCATGGTACTCACCATCACGGTCACCATCATGGTACTCACCGTCATGGTACTCACCATCACGGTCACCATCATGGTACTCACCGTCATGGTACTCACCGTCACGGTACTCACCATCATGGTACTCACTGTCACGGTCTCCATCATGGTACTCACTGTCATGGTACTCACCGTCATGGTACTCACCATCATGGTACTCACTGTCATGGTATTCATCCATCGTGGTACTCACTGTCATGGTACTCACCATCATGGGACACCGTCATGGTACTCACCGTCATGGTACTCACCAATGACGTGGACTGTTGACCATGTTACAGTGACCAGTAAATGACCACAGAGGTTTATTCACAAACTTAAGCAAACTAATTTCAGTTCCTTCCCATTGGAGGTGCCTTCTGTTGATGGGGAGCTTTATGTTACAGTGTGGTGTCATCCCAACCACAGCATCCATAGCTCATCAGCTTTTTCACTGGGTTAACCAATGTGGACTCATACTGCTTGACACGTATTATAGATGAGCCTGCGCAGTACACACGTTTGTGACAAGTAGGCGGGGCAGGGAATCTAAACGAATACACTTGGTTCCTACAGGTAGATTGGCGATGAAGCACTTGCAATACATGCTGACCGTGGCGTGAACTCAATACCACTTCTGTTTAACACGTCAATCGTAGAGCGCGATTTACTGATGTACTAATACAGGGGCGTAGGAATGGTTTTCAGAGGGGGGGGGGGGAATTTATTTAAAGTATTGAAAATTGTACGCCCCTGTACTATTAGATGAGCCACGACCTGACAAATGATACCCGTGAAGATCCGTGTTAGAACGAACCTTCGTTATAAACCTCCAGTGACGTCACTCTATTGTTCTAGCGAGGCAGTATTTCTTGTCATATCCCGATGCCTGAGCATTAGGGGGAATTACTTCAATATCGTCTATCTGCCCGGGGATTTTCTGAGGAATAGCCCTTGACTTTGAATTATTACTTATTTTGAAGATTAATACGACTTTGTCTTCACAGGGGCGTGTCACGCTTAGAAACAGCGTCAGAAAGACATAAAGGTATATAGACCCTACCCTAGTACTATATAAAAGGATCCTTTTATATAGTACTAGGGTAGGGTCTATATACCTATATGTCTTTCTAACGCTGGTTCTAAGCGTGACACGCCCCTGTGGGTTAGAATTGGTTTTCTGTAACCCATGCTTGTGGTAGGAGGCGACTAAAAGGTTCGGGTGGTCAGGCTCGCTGACTTGGTTGACACATGTCATTGTATACTAATTGTGTAGATCGATGCTCATGCTGTTGACCACTGGATTGTCTGTCAATTATTTACAGACCGCCGCCATATAGCTGGAATACTGCTGAGAGCGGCATTAAATAACAGACAAACAAGATTCATAAAGTTGTAAAATTGGGATACCCACCAATTGGAAATATTACATATACTTCTCAATAAGCAGTCATGCCATGCCATATTAACTGAAGTAGTAGGTAAAAATTGGCTGGCCCTTAACTTGTATTGAGCAATATATATTACATTCCCCTTAAGTTAATCTGAATAAATAGGACAAGATGTCATTCAGTAAAACCTGTTTTATTCTACAATCACACAGTGGTAGAGGGGCTTCTGAGAGGCACATCTAGCAGTAGTGGTATAGGACAGAACAATTCAGTAAACAGGAGAGTCTAACACAGATATCCTTCTGATAGAAACACTGACTTTTCCTTCTGCAAACCCTTGGTACATTGTTCACACAATAAGAATAATCTACATGTTCCTATTAAATACTTATCCTACCATATTTGTTGCAACCGGCTGAATGTCGGAATAAGTGCATGGGATGAACATTGACTGAGAGTCACTTACCAAAACCATACACAACTAGTTAAACTTGATTTCAGAGATAAAAAAACAACAACCTATGTTTAAATGTGATCAAACTAAACATATGTTGAATACATAGTTATTTAGCTGCACAGTGGTTTTCTGTAACAATATCCACAAGAAGATATGGAGTGTTACGTAAATTGTATGATGCTTATACAATGCAGTAAATACAGATTCATATGGAAGTTGATTTTTTTCCACTTTAGGCCACAGAAATTTTATTTCTTGTTTTACGGATTTTTGTCCTCAGAAAACCTAAACGAAGGAAGTGAAAAAAATAAATAAATAAATAAAATTAAAAAAACACCAAACTACTATTCCATTTAAATACTAAAAGTAATTTAATTTTGGAAATTATTGAAGTGCATATGGGGCAAAATACAATCTAAAAAATTTTCTTGTAACTTTACATTTTTCGCCAATGAAAACATTAGGATATTATTTTTTGAGCCAGGAAAATTATTTATATATTTTGTTCTTATTCATGAAAAAATACGACCAGCAGATCCGTAAAACAAGAAATAAAATTGGTCTCGCCTTATTTCTATTTTCATGAGGATGAATACTGAAGTATTTAAAGGAGCAGGCCTCTTGATGGAATACAGATAGTTTGGAGCTGGACATCCATAATTGTCCATCCTCTACATCCACGAAATAATATCTTCATTCCCCTACGATCACTATCCTAGATCCATTCACTTCTGTTTCATTTTGAGCAAGAAAATCACTGGGCACAAAGTTTAAATCAGCCTTGGAATCAATTTCGATGAACAAGAATGTACTCTTTCCACAGATCACAGAAGCGAAGAGGGCAAATGGGTCCAAGGTGTATATTTTAATGGAGATATTATTCCCTTGATTACTGAAGATGGTGCCAGTGGTCACATGAGTACTTGGTCTGAGTTTACTGATAATACCTGTCAGTTAATCTTGAAACAAGGATATACACTGGGGAGTGTTACTGTTCACTGTATCAATACAATGTTGTACTTGTACCCTTGATACAATGAGTGATATATCCTTAATCTTTACTGATGCTGGGAATCTGTCTCCAACTGTGCATCAAAACCACCAGTACATTTTCTTACAGAACACTGTCACGTGATGTCCTTGGGTACTTAATATGTTGCATCTATTTCAAAATATTATTCTGAAAACTCATATAACTGCCATAACATTCAACCTGAGCGTTCACGTAAACCCAACATTCAAAAGTGTTACAATTTACAAACATACACATCACACCAAGATACTCTACGCAAGCAAACATTGGGCCACCAAACCTTCTCCATAAGCTTGTAACAATTTGTTTTGCATATGAAAATAGGATGCCGATAAACCTATACATATCACATGTATATAATTTTGGTAATGCCCACAATCACAGAATTAGTATAGCAGTTGCCATGGAGACATGAATTCATATTATGACTGAAAAAAGTAACAGAACAATTGAAGACAGATTTGCTAAGTACATCTTGTATAAGGTGATGCTGAGTGAGTGAGTGAGTGTAATTTTACACCGCTTTTAGCAATATTCCAGCAAAATCACAGTGGGGGACACCAGAAATGGGCTTTACACATTGTACCCATATGGGGAATCAAACCTGGGTCTTTGGCGTGACGAGCGTTGCGAAAGCTCTAACCACCGCCTTTCAGGTGGTGCACTTGTAATAATATTATTGTAGAGAACACATCTTATATGACTGTAGTACTCAGTGTTATCCCAATAAACACTGGATCACATTCAGAGACACCTCATATCAACAGGATCATGTTCACAGACACCTCATATCAACAGGATCATGTTCACAGACACCTCATATCAACAGGATCATGTTCAGAGACACCTCATATCAACAGGATCATGTTCACAGACACCTCATATCAACAGGATCATGTTCACAGACACCTCATATCAACAGGATCATATTTACAGATGCCTCATCAAAAAAGGATCTTTCAGAGACATCTCATATTTTCTGGATCATATTTGGACATACCTTGTATATTCTGCACTCGATTTAGAGAATCCTACTGTAAACAGGATACAAATCAAATTATTTCCACTTTCCTCACATACAACAAATGTTTGTAATAATGCATGGTACCAGACACCTACCTGTGTGTGCTGGTGATTAGGTGCCTGACTCTGAGAGTGTCGGTTCGAATCCCAGATGGGAATCAACCCAACAAAAGTCCCAGAATCTGTACTTGACAAAGCAAGTGTAATCCCCAATATGACAATGTTACATTTTGACAACTTTCTAAATGGTATTGTGCAATAAGACACTGACAGCCATCTTGAGGGATGTGCACAAGCTCCTTTCATAGTAACAGGGTTTTTTCAAGTTCTCCAAATGCCAACACCAGACGCCTTCACAGAATAACAGGATCCAGGGAGCATGTGACCCCCACATGGACAAAACATTTCCAGTACTGAAGGAAAGCATGTTTGTTGAAATGTGAATCCCCTAAAATGAATGTGTACCTTAATGTGTATTTCCCTGCAAAGTATGTTATTCAATTTCTTTTGTGAAAAAAACCCAATTCAAGGTAATTAAGTAAGTATGCAGTATTTCTTTGTCTTGCCTCTCACTGTACACCTGTCAGTTTACCTGACAACACTGCTAAGGGACCATGAAATAGTACACCTGTCATTTTACCTGACTCACAACATTGTGGACAGGTCATGTCAGAAAGATTTTTCAAGTTTCATCATCATTTCAACCACTGGCACAGGTGATATGTAATGTATTTATATACATTTATAAAGTCATCAAGAAAATAACACTATGCCACACAAAGCAAATAGGAAACAAATGTTGGTTAATGAATGGCAAGATCTCTACTAAATAAATAAGTATGGAAAATAAACAGTATATGTTTAAAGAGATTCACTCACATAATATACCTGTAGGCAGCAAAAGCCTGTGTCTTAAACTATATATATATAGCAGGTGACTTCCATGAAACTGATTGCATGTGTGTGAGGACGGCTTTAGTTAGGTTTCCATAGTGATTAAGTTACCTTTGACATTAATTCAATAATAGCTTTGTGTGTAATCTTTACACAGGGGAATGGTCAGTTGTCATTCAGGAGTCCCACTGCATGGTATCCTGGTGTGCTCACAGACCACTGAGTGTATTTAGGGCAAATCTTGGGATTTAAGCCATTGATCACCAGATCCTGGCATGACTAAGGGAGATAATAAACAAGACTTCCAGGGCTTCATTGTGAACATGGACAATAAAAGTCCTAATATCAAAATCAAATGGTTAAAAATATCATCAAAAACAGAAAACTGGCACAAATAGATCTTGTAGAATACACCAGAAAGATCTGGGTGGACCTGTAAACAACATGGCTACGATTCACATTGTTAATATCTGGACGGCTTTGCGTAGTATCGTCGACTTCTTTGTGAGCAATGATCAACAGACAACAGATAATTCTCAAAAGCAAGTATACAATCAACAGTCAGCTTTGGAATAGGGTAAGTAATAATATATATAAGTTGCTTGGAAATTGCATCTTGGAAAGAAATCTCCATTTGGTATGCCCTTCATTGATATGAAAATAATTTTTAGACAAAATAAATTAGTTAATACTATTGGCATTAGGCAGCAGAAGAATATATTTCTTTGAACAAATTACCTCTTTTGAAATTTGTTAACATAAAATAGATATACCGGTAAGTGTATCTTTATCATTTTAAAAGACTCAAAAACATCTCAGTGACATATTTCTATCATTTTGAAATAAACATAAAATCCAGTTATAAAACAAACAATGTACTTGTAACAAATAACAAAAGTATGAAATGACAAAATATGAACTTTACAAGAAAATGAATAGAATACAAATGAATGAAATATAGGTGTGTATATCACAGCTTGGATGTAGGTAGTTGTGTCGGACGGAGTCAAGATTTACAAGCAGCATCTTCATTAGCCATCTAGCAACATTTACATAAGGCGACTAGACATAGAGACAAGCAAAACACATTTATCATATACACAAATTTAGGAGAAAATGAACTATGATCTGCATCCACCTTCTTCATATCATGAAACTAAGAAAATAATGTATATATTTAACCTCAGACACCTATTAAGTATTTTGGCCTCTAATCTTGTTGCTGTCTGTAATTGTACATCTTCCAAATATATCATAATAATTGTATACATTTCATGTTCTGAACTATTTCTCATACGACAGGAATTACTGGTAAATAATTAGCAAGGAAGGCACATTAAGTAAATTGCACTTCACATCAACTTTTGTATTCAAACAAAGTCAAGTCACAGACTAATACAAAAATAATTCTTTTTATAAAATTGTGTAAGGATGGTTTCAAAAGGCATTACAATATGACAGCGGGGATCTCCAGGACTGGGTCCAAACACAGCACCTGCATGGGAATGAAACTAGACCTTCGATGGGATAAGCAAACACCTTAACTTCTAGGCTACTCGACCACCTCCTTTACTCTGAAGAAGTTGACATATGTGATGACTAAATAAGAAATGACACATTGAATAATGTTTCCTGATGATAGTAGATAAACCTGAACATCTTGGTACGTTGTTACTGACGCTGTACTGTGCCAATTATCATAGTACTGGTAATGTTAAGGAAGTTGTGTCAACAGCACTTATTGACAAAGCTATACAGTTACAAGTATGACTTCATTCATATAAAGATGTGACACTGAAGTGACTACATGTGAATTGTGAACATACATTTGGAAATATAACAATATCACCATCAATCTCCATAGAAACACATGTACAACATATTTTAATTTGGGAGTGAGATTATTCTAGTGTCACAGAAAATGGTCTCAGTTACATCATGGTATGTCAGCTTGAAGCAGAAGAGTCCAAGTGATGCTGGTCTCAGTTCTTTATCACTTTCCTGAAACCATCAGTATGGGAATGGTGCTCACAAACCAACAAACATAATCTGGGAGAATTAGGGATTTGATCATGATTATAAGATCCTGACACACGTAAGGGAAGCAACTCCAAAAAGCGTGGAAACAGGATGAATAGTTTGGTTACAGTTTTCACAGTATTAAGGTGAAATAATATCACTATATAGACTTCAAAAATATATATACTAACATATTTGAGTGAGTAACTGTATCAGATCAATTATCACGTGACACAATTGCAACTATTGTCATATACCCGTTACCACAGGAGGTGAATATCCAATGGTTATATATCTGTTATCACATGGGACTGACAGTATATAACTGTCATATGTCACAGAAACTGTAACTGACAAAATGAGACAACAGACGCATTTATCAGCTGACATTGTTACTTAAAACATAATTTCAGAAAAAAAAAAAAAATACTGATAAAATTACAGTATTATTACATCCTGTTTGAAGGTCGTGACAAGTAATCAATTATCCATCCGCAGGACAGGGATCTTGGAACATGTTCTGATGTTCTGTTACTGAGGCCCTTTCTTGGAGATGTTCTGTTTGGCCTGTCCCAGTGCCACCTGGCGAGCATTGGCGCCAAAGTCTAGAGTGTTACAGGATTCTGGGTAATTGTTACCGTCCGGGCTGACATTAACAAACAAACATGCCTGAAACGAGAGAATCATTATGTAAATACTATTCTCTAATGACAGTTGTTCAAATGTATACACGGCAAGAACAATGTCAAAGTGGTGCCATGGCGCTGTTGATCACCTGGAATTGTCGTGAACAGTAAAATATGTCAAGAAAGATAGTCACTGAAAATGTTGCTGTTAGTTCCATTTTGAAAATTGGATCTGACTGACTGAGTTTGGTTTTACGCCGCTTTTAGCAATATTCAAGCAACATCACGGCGGGGGACACCAGAAATGGGCTTCACACATTGTACCCATGTGGGGATTCGAACCCGGGTCTTCGGCGTGACGAGCCAACGCTTTAACCACTAGGATACCCCACCGCCCCAATTTGATCTGAACCTCTTGAGTACATATGGGTGTTATCATTGGTATAAACCTGCATGTCAAGTTAAAGTGGTCAAGTGGTCTTGGATGAAATAATGTTCACAGTGTACATCAGCATATAAAAGAGCAAAGGTAACAAAGGTAATAGTTGATATGAACTATTGAATAATGTCAAAAGACGGAACACTGTTGGTTCACCCAACTACTAACGACATACACCAAAAAATGGCCATAAGAACGTTCAGCTTTCATTATGGTCAATGTGGAAAGGTCAAATATCAGTAAAACGTTTACAAATTATAAGCTGTGTCCAAAACATAAACAAAGTTTCATTTTGACCAATAATAAATGTGTAATGGCCATAAGTAATTTGTTCTAAATATGGCTGCCACAGTGGCCAATTAATTAGTCATATTTGAAGCACTTGAACCATCTGTGTCATCGCTGGAGGAAACAAGCGTATGACGTTTCAGGTTCACTGGTCAAGTGGTAACTAAGGAGATGATGTTTCAGACACACAACTGATCAATTGACAGACGGCTGACATTTGGAAACCAGAATAAACAGGTCAATTCTGTTCAGTCAATTGAGCAAAACAGAAGTGCACATATGTATATCAAGGAGGAAATTAAAAAAGTCAAATCATAAGTTGCCTGCAGATCTTTATCATGAAATCATGTCAAAAATTGTATTCATACAAGACTTATCTCACCTTAGCATCTCCACCAAGAGATGGACGGAGAATCTGGGTGAGCTTTGAGTTCCTGTAAGGCACATGCAGCTGACTTGATCTCAGCGCTGTGAACACCTGTAGAAGTGAAACATAGGCTCTTAGTATTGTGAACACCTGTTGTATAGAGACATAGGCTCTTAGCGCTGTGAACACCTGTTGTATAGAAACATAGGCTCTTAGTATTGTGAACACCTGTTGTATAGAGACATAGGCTCTTAGCGCTGTGAACACCTGTTGTATAGAAACATAGGCTCTTAGCATTGTGAACACCTGTTGTATAGAAACATAGGCTCTTAGTATTGTAAACACCTGTTGTATAGAAACATAGGCTCTTAGTATTGTAAACACCTGTAGAAGTGAAACATAGATCTTAGCATTGTGAATACGTGTATAAGTAAAACATTGGACTGTAAATACCTGCAGATAGAAACACTGGATGTAATTGTCAACCTTCTACTAACCTGCCCAAGAGCTGATAACGACTTATTAATGGCAGCTGCCTCCACCAATCTCTGTCCTTGAGCCTCAGTTTTCGATATTCTCTCAGAACCCGCCAGATCGCACAACGTGAGGACGCCTCGGGATACGGCTCCGGAGACGTTGTCTGTCCCCTCTACATTCAGCAGGAGGACCAGGTGGGACCGGGAACTGGAGGTAGAGGACAAACCCTGGGTTAGTGAGTGGAATGATCTGCACAGGAACTCTGTGTTTGGTTTTAATAATACAATCAACAGGATCAATTTAATAGAACCCTAAAATAAAGTACATTCATCTGTTAAAATACTAATATACAAAGAAAGCTATATTGCCTATTATTGGAAGGATGGAGGTTACACATTCATATTTTAATTTAATCCAAAAGGTCACTCACAGTGTTGGCAACACAGCTAGACTGCTTCTATGCAGTAGATTAGGTACATCACATTCTCTCATCCTTCCATTCTTAAATTAAAAGTCTGAAGCATGTGTCATTCCTCTTCGCTTACGACCACTAAAGTAAACACATGACACACTGTCATGTACGTACCTGGTTGAGTTCATCTTGGTGCTAGCTGTTGTTCGGTTCTTGTCTCCCATTGACATCACGTGCTTGATGTCCTTGACCTCTGCCACTTCATGGTCAGTCAGGTTCGGCATGCGGATGTTGTTACCGGCTGATTTCAGGTCCACCGTTTTGGCATCAGAGGTCAGCAGGTCAACAACAGTTTCGTTGTAGATTTCAACAAGAGACACCTGTCACACATCACACAAACCTTCTGATCAAAGTAGCGATGGCTTTTCTTAAAATGATGGATGACATCTTAATTTCTATCCTTTAAATGCATATTTCTACATTAACAGAAGATGGACTTACTTTAAAACTGACATTAAAAAAGAACTTAAATGATTCTTTCACTCATAAGACTTGATACTATGAATGGTCAGGCTGTCATCAAATGGAGTTTCTTTTCAAAGGCGTATTTTGAGACTAACCTAAAAGCTACAGATTATGTGTTCCTTGTAACTGAAAAATAATATTTCATTGTAGATTTCAGGTAGGGGTGCACTGTACAATTTATTTAATCATCCTAAACTTTGATCCAATTAAACATATTTAAATATCTCATCCTGGTATACATACATACATACTAACATTTGTATAGCGCCGATATCCAGCTCAGCTCAGCTGCTCAAAGCTCAAAGGTATGAGACATTATAAACATTATAAATCTAAAATATGACAGCAGCATATCACGGTTATGTTGTTTGTGAAAAGTATCTTTACCTTTGGTGGTATACAAAAGCCTTTTCATTTTGATTATATTCTGAAATTTTTATTGTTTAGGTCAGCAAGTCCGTAAACAAGCAGATAGAAAGGTAAGGCCTTGTTTATACAATATGTACACTTATAGGTGACTGGACATATGTTTAAGAAACAAAGAGTCCTACTTCCAAATGTAAATTATTCCTCAGTTTATTTGAATTTATCCACCTGTCATCACAGAAGTGCACCCTCCTTTCCAGTAAACTCTATCCAAGCTGGGCTGCTTGACTTTGATAATCTTGAGTTCTGTATAGGTTACTGTCTACAATTATCTATCACAAATATGTTTACCGTCAGACAGACCAGTGACGATACAATGCTTTTCCTGCCCCTGTCTCACCTTGAGAGTGTATTTTACTGTCTCTCTCTCGTTGCACACTTTCAACAGCTCTGTGATAGCTCTGGCAAATGAAAATATAACTCATGCTTACACAAGTAGGGGAGAAATTGCACACAATATTCTGTGTTACATATTAATGGTTGTTAACACTAGGGTGCGTTATGGACATTGTCTTGGCAGGTTGTTATTCTTCATAATGACTCCTTGGTTCATGGTTTAGCTCTGATGAGTAAAACAGCGTTATGTTCGGCGCACACATAGTATACGTTGGTTAGTGCCTAGGTTATCATGTATTGATGACATAGTAGGTTGTTTATTACATGTTGATGCCAAAGTAGGTTATCAAATGTCATATTGACCTGATGTTGATTCCAGGGTTGCTCTCCGGCCCCATCATGGTGAACGTCTTCCCCGAGCCTGTCTGACCGTACGCCATCAAACACACATTGTACCCGTCCACACAGGAGCTCACAATGGCCTTCGTTTCTTCAAATATCTTTTATTGAAAAAAAAAAGAAGACATTAGAATAGTTTTTAGGATCCACTTGAATTTGCTGGATACATGAATGAGGTAAAAACATTTTTATGAAAGCTAATCTGATCATAAGAATGGCATTTGTTAATGTTCAACACTGTTGGCATGAGTGGTTCAGAGGTTTATGGCACTACTATCTATTGCCTCCCTTTCCAAAGACAGGATCCAGTGGGTGAGGATGTAATTTCTAGATTTACCCTCATCACAATGTCTCGTCTATGAAAGCCATAATTTTTGACAAAAACGCCTGTGTTTCCCTTTTACATTACATGGCCAAGATTTAACTTATATACTGTTTAGGGCAGCATGAAAACATCATCATTCAATCAGTTAATTAACACTTCCAGGACTTCTGATATCATCAGTTACATAATCAAGTTAAATGTGTACATTTCCAGGAATACTTAACAAATCCTATACATTCGAATGTGTTTGGAAGGATTAGGACCGTGTGCCAATGCTTGCTGTAATCTTGAGGAAACACAGATTCTCACATGCTCCTGGGTTGTCTCTGGGTCGAACACCTTGTCAAAGCTGAAAGTTTTCTTCGAGCCATCATTGCTGGTGATCGTAATGTCTTGGTCAGATGGGAATGTCAGACAACACTTAGTGCGTGTGTCTTTCCTAGCTCGACAGAACACTCGGATATTTCCACGAAGCTCTTGAAGCTGAAAAAACATTTCATAAAAAATACAAAATACCATGTCTGCATAATACATCCAAGTACACCCCAGGTGTCTAGAACAGAACTATAAGATCTCTTATACATACAGCCTTGTTTCTCTGACAGAAACACACAATAAATAACGATAACCTTCCCCACAGGTATTCATCATTATTACCCTGAAGATAAATTTGTTGAATTCTAATTGGTTAATAGTCAAAGCATACGAAACCATGTAGGCTATTTGCCAGGGTGTATGAACCATACACCCTGTCAAATCTGTCACATGACACACTACACAGGTTGTACGAATGACCTTGACCTTAGATGGAATGTGGCTGCCAAACGGCTGATCGTGTCAAAATTTTAGAGTTGGCATATACAATTATGAGTATAAACAGAGTAATAAAATTGTTACAAATATATCCCCAACATAGAATGTTTCTGTACTTCACTTGTTGTTTAACAAACCTCAAATTTGATCAATTTTATCATAAACTAAGCCACCCCGAGTTATCTCCCTTTATGACCGTTCAGGAAAAATCATGGCGAAACGTTTTGCATCTCATTCTGCCGAAGGTTCAATGTTGTTGTTTAAAGATAAGCTAAATTAAAAGATCTTAAGGGTAGTAAACTTGTCACACTGTGTTTTGAAAGGGTGTACGGGACTATAAGACCCTTATAAGTTCCGTATTCAAATCCCCTTTCAAAACACTGTGTAACTAATTTAAATCATTCTGATGGAATATGCTGAGCTTGGCAATAAGTAAGAAACAAAAATAGAGGATACTAAACAACCTTCCGTGAAATACCATTTTTATTAAACGAGTTAATGATTTGGTATCAAACGAGCAAAAGCGAGTTTGATGCTTAATCTTTCACGAGTTTAATAAAAAATGGTATTTCACGGAAGCGAGTTTAGTATTCTGTTTATTACTCTCCAACATAAACTGATAAAAACTGCCTACGAAGTGTATTGACTTTCAGCTTTCCACGAGTCAAGCAAGGTCTAATACCATTGTGACAGAGGTATTAGCATTGTGACGTCATAACTGCAAACCATTATGACGTCATACGTCTAGCGGTATTATACTAGTGTAATATCGCCGTAAAAATATTACACTGCAGTATCTTCCACGGGCGAGTAATAAAGAATGTCCATCATCAAACTTACATCCTTAGATCCATGTAGCTAACATGATATATACATGGTAATTCAATGTTAATCATTTGTCACATACAGCAAGTAACACTGTATGGAGTATGAAAAATGTGCCCCTTGTCGTGTACGTAATAATATGTCAAATACAGCAAATAACATTGTATGCAGAATGAAAAATATGCCCTTTGTCACATACACAAAATTTCTTACATACAGCCAGTAACACTGTATGGAGTATGAAAAAAAATATGCCCCTTGTGTTGATAAATATTAGTATTTCTCCCTTAACTACAACTGTCAGGGTTGTTGGTGAGCAAGGAAAGTAGTACCTGGTTGTAGAGCAGCTTCCTCTGCAGGGCCTCTCTCTGGTACAGGGCCCGTACTTCCTCTAACTCCTTCGACTGGCCAGACTCGGACTGCTTTATCTGACCCACCGCTGACAGTGCCTAGTGTACACAATGACAAAGTAGAACATATGGAGAACTATATTAGTTACAGAGACACGTGATCTGACCGACAGCCGGAACTGTCTGATGTTTGGGATTAGAATCATACAACAACGCAACACACTAGTTACGTCCGCTTTCAAAACTACAAAATATGATCCATGATAACTGCCAGGATAACAACTGGTCAGTGACAATTGTCAGATTGATAACTGTCCAGTTTGCGATCATACCTCTTTTATCATTTTGCCGAGAGTCCCGAAGTGGCGCGCTCCACATCCATCTTGAGGTGAACATGAGATTTGTGAAGATTCTTTGCCTTGTTGTTAAGCTCATCCAAGTCATCGCTGAATATGCCCAAGCTACCTGGTGGTGGGCCCCTGCTTGTCTGCAAGGGAGACAACTCAAATAGATGGGACACAGGCCTCAATTGTATGCCAATACCGATTCCACTGCTTTAGATGTCAAAATAATCGTGAAAATTATACAGAAGGTTCTGAACCAGAAGAGAGATTAACCAGTTCAACTAATACCATGGTTTCCTGAGCATGATGCCACTGTGTAAATATATATAATTAGTCTAATAATTCCTATATATCCATCAATATTCATCACGGTTATTCTTTTTACAGTTAATCTTTGTAACATATTTTAGACCCATGAAGATCCGGGTTAGAATTGATCTTCAGCTGCCCATGCTTGTCGTAAGAGGCGACTAACGGGATCGGGTGGTCAGACTCGCTGACTTGGTTGACACATGTCAATCATATCCAAATGGCTTAGATCGATGCTCAAGCTATTGATCTCTGGATTGTCTGATCCAGACTCAATTATTTACAGACCACCGCCATATGGTTGAAATATTGCTGAGTGCGGCATAAAACTAAACTCACACATGTAACATATTTTAGAAATTTCTACCTCTTTGTTCTCCCAGAGTTTTTACCTTTGGTGTTTTTGGTCGAGCTGTCTTGGGTCGCGAGGACTGCATTGCCTCGACCTGTGTAGTCGCGATCTTGGCCTCCGCGGATATTGTGCTGTACTGTTCCTGTAGCTTGTTCAACTGAGAGACGAGAAAAACAACACATGTATCAGTTCAAAACAGGTAAATAAAAGTGAAAACTGCATAAAAATTGTCTTGCACATTTAAATCAAACCAACATTGAATACCACTGTCATATTTGACCCTGAAAGCTGACATCATTAAGACCTTAATTACATTCCAGACATATCGGCTAAAAATGTAAACACAATGTGATTCAAAGGCAGCTTTCTATAGACTTTGGTACATATGGTACCATTCATGATATTCAGTATCATGTATCCCTCATCATATAAGAGACAACCCAGCACTTGGTGATCGAACAATAGTTTATATTAAAAATGCACCCCATATCCTAAAAGCAGTTGATTTACACAGGAATTGGATTTGATAAAAACAAGTGTGGGCCCAATTTCATGAACTGATCTTCAGAAATAGGAGTAGAGACCGCCTTGGACTTAGATCACATTGTAGACCAGAACTCTGGTTTAAGACTGCCTTGGACTTAGATCACATTGTACACCAGAACTCTGGTTTAAGACTGCCTTGGACTTAGATCACATTGTAGACCAGAACTCTGGTTTAAGACTGCCTTGGACTTAGATCACATTGTACACCAGAACTCTGGTTTAAGACTGCCTTGGACTTAGATCACATTGTAGACCAGAACTCTGGTTTAAGACTGCCTTGGACTTAGATCACATTGTACACCAGAACTCTGGTTTAAGACTGCCTTGGACTTAGATCACATTGTACACCAGAACTCTGGTTTAAGACTGCCTTGGACTTAGATCACATTGTACACCAGAACTCTGGTTTAAGACTGCCTTGGATTTAGATCACATTGTAGACCAGAACTCTGGTTTAAGACTGCCTTGGACTTAGATCACATTGTAGACCAGAACTCTGGTTTAAGACTGCCTTGGACTTAGATCACATTGTAGACCAGAACTCTGGTTTAAGACTGCCTTGGACTTAGATCACATTGTACACCAGAACTCTGGTTTAAGACTGCCTTGGACTTAGATCACATTGTTACACCCAGAACTCTGGTTTAAGACTGCCTTGGACTTAGATCACATTGTACACCAGAACTCTGGTTTAAGACTGCCTTGGACTTAGATCACATTGTAGACCAGAACTCTGGTTTAAGACTGCCTTGGACTTAGATCACATTGTACACCAGAACTCTGGTTTAAGACTGCCTTGGACTTAGATCACATTGTAGACCAGAACTCTGGTTTAAGACTGCCTTGGACTTAGATCACATTGTACACCAGAACTCTGGTTTAAGACTGCCTTGGACTTAGATCACATTGTACACCAGAACTCTGGTTTAAGACTGCCTTGGACTTAGATCACATTGTACACCAGAACTCTGGTTTAAGACTGCCTTGGACTTAGATCACATTGTACACCAGAACTCTGGTTTAAGACTGCCTTTGATTTAGATCACATTGTAGACCAGAACTCTGGTTTAAGACTGCCTTGGACTTAGATCACATTGTAGACCAGAACTCTGGTTTAAGACTGCCTTGGACTTAGATAACATTGTACACCAGAACTCTGGTTTAAGACTGCCTTGGACTTAGATCACATTGTACACCAGAACTCTGGTTTAAGACTGCCTTGGACTTAGATCACATTGTACACCAGAACTCTGGTTTAAGACTGCCTTGGACTTAGATCACATTGTAGACCAGAACTCTGGTTTAAGACTGCCTTGGACTTAGATCACATTGTACACCAGAACTCTGGTTTAAGACTGCCTTGGACTTAGATCACATTGTACACCAGAACTCTGGTTTAAGACTGCCTTGGACTTAGATCACATTGTACACCAGAACTCCGGTTTAAGACTGCCTTGGACTTAGATCACATTGTACACCAGAACTCTGGTTTAAGACTGCCTTGGACTTAGATCACATTGTACACCAGAACTCTGGTTTAAGACTGCCTTAGACTTAGATCACATTGTACACCAGAACTCCGGTTTAACAGGCTGCAGTGTATAATGTTGCTGCTGTGAGCTGACACCCTACAGATAACTGCATCAGAAGTACAACCAAGGTATGAGGAATGTTCATGAGAAACTCCTCGGCTTGTACCTGTTCCTCGGCCTCCTTCCTCCCCTTCTCCTCGTCCTTCAAGTCCTTTTCCTGTAACACACATAAATAGTGCTCCTTTAACAATCTACTTTTTCAATGACCTCTTGCTGTCTTGTAGAAAACCATTCAAGCCTGCCTGTACTGATATCAGGGTGTTGTCGTCTTTGTCAAATAAACCACTGACTAAAAATCACATGGCGCCATGAAAATATCCTCAGAAAAACGTGTGTGCTGCTTGTACAAGCAATGACAACTTTGTTATGTTTACTCGTAGGTGGACATGTCACTAACACAAAAGGTATGACAGCACAATGAAAAACTCATCAGTAATATATTTTTAACTATTTATGAACAAGGAGCAAATTAACCGCTTCTTTTCCCAAAAGCCTTTTAAATACAACAAAAACTTATTCCCTCACTCCACATCAAATTATCGTGATAAGCGTGAATGTTCTTTCAAACTTATGACAGCCAGTCCTCGAGCTAGTTAAGGATTCAACTTGCTGCACTTTATTGCATGCCTATGTAAATCTGGAATTCATTCCAACAGATCTGACTGTTTCAAATTATTATGTTCAGTCACAAATCTCTGCACATTCTGTTTATCACAGACATGTTTTATTGAAAATATGGGGATCGTGTATGAGATTGTAATGTGCTTGAGTCAAGGTCACATTATAGACAATTTACATAAATTAGCATTGATTCTGAAGACTTTCACTGGGGGTCTCGGTATATATAGGGATGCCTTATACACAGCAGCATATGGTATATGTAGTCATTTCACACAGTCACACTTTGCGTTTCATTCTGATCTACCTGAGAAATCAGTTACTGGTATTGCTGACCATGCACAAGGCTATAAAACTGATGGAGGTTGTGAAAAACGTTTACATACCAGTTGTTTAACTTTTTTCTCCAGCTCCGCCAAGCGAACCTCCCTTTCTCCCTGCTGCTTGGCTTCCTTGGATGTTCGGGGGACCTTCAGCCAGTCTGACAGGAAACAATGACATGTGAGTGAGTGAGTGAGTGAGGGAGGGAGGGAGGGAGGGACATTGTTGAGGGTTATAGCGTTACGAGAGTGTGTTTCTTGTAATTTGTAATAACATTGGTTAGGTGATAATAAATATGATTCACAATGTTTAAAGTTTTGAGTGTTGGTTGTGGGTCACATTTCAAGTCATATATACTACCCATCAAAAGTTTAGACTCACTGAAAGCACTCACTATATGTTATGTATATGTATGTGGTTACATCGAAGATGAATTTCTCCACCAACTTGGGGGAACCAACTGAAAACCTTATGCAGATGAATTGCACAAGGATGATGCTTCAAATTGCGAAAGGCATGAGCAAATGTCGTGCATGTGAACAGATTCGTTTTGGTGTAAAGTTTTGTTAAGAATTCGCCAATTTTCACAGATTTTAATCATTTACTGAACTCATGACAATAATCTTTTCAATGTTACGAATATGTTTTACAATACACCAGTTCATAACTAAACAGTACCTTTAAACAGTATGGAATATTTTGCAAAAAGCTAGTTTAGAACAGTGGACAAGTAAGTGGCTACATTTACACTAGTGAGTCTAAACTTTTGATGGGTAGTATATGTTCAGTGGCAACAGTATTTTAGCAGCACGCCTTTATGATAGCACTCCAGAGTTACCTCCCTTGACCGGATGTTTATGTGTTGACATCGTCGTGTCATATGTTCAACATGTTTCGAGAAAGATAAGTGTTTAATGATACAGCCATGTTTTGCTGGAAAGTTCGAGAATCTGTGTCAGTATATATAAAGGCTGGCTGACTAACATACGGAATTGCATGGATCTTTCACTGGAGTTGCCCATCGTTGTTTGCCTTCGTCCTTCGTGACATCGCCATCGTCTGACCCTGACACTTCGTGCCTGACTGCTCTCATTTGTAAACAAGCTCCATTTAGAATATCTGATCTCACTGTGGTTATACGACTCTGGTGAGTTAATATTTTATATGTGACCCATTTACTTTAGATTTGTGACTCAATTGCATTGTACTAGAAATCTGTATTGTGATTCATTGTAGCTTACTCATTGTTTGCTCAATATATTATTGAATATTTTAGACTTGTCTGTGTTATATTTTGCTGGTTCAAAGGGGGTTCTTAAACCTTTTGTCACGGCAATTTATTAATCGTAACAACAGATATAACTAATGTTCAGTAATATGGTTTTGCAGCTTCCACCTTGAACTATATTTCAGTTACAAGGTTTGACAATGCTTTGAATAGTAATCTGATCCTGTGATTTAATTATACTGTGAAGAGTTATTCAGACATCTGGTTTAACACAAACAAAGTATAGTTGTAGTATTTTACCCCTAAGCCTTAAATAGTATTTCATTCCTATGGTTTAATACACATTTTAACATTATTGCAGTATCTGGTTTTGCACTAGCTTGAACAATATACCAGTTACATGGATTAACAATGCCTTGAACAATATACCAGTTTCATGGATTAACAATGCCTTGAACAATATACCAGTTACATGGATTAACAATGTTTTGAACCTTATACCAGTTTCATGGATTAACAATGCCTTGAACATTATACCAGTTACATGGATTAATAATGCCTTGAACAATATACCAGTTACATGGATTAACAATGTTTTGAACCTTATACCAGTTTCATGGATTAACAATGCCTTGAACAATATACCAGTTACATGGATTAACAATGCCTTGAACCTTATACCAGTTTCATGGATTAACAATGCCTTGAACAATATACCAGTTACATGGATTAACAATGCCTTGAACAATATACCAGTTACATGGATTAACAATGTTTTGAACCTTATACCAGTTTCATGGATTAACAATGCCTTGAACATTATACCAGTTACATGGATTAACAATGCCTTGAACAATATACCAGTTACATGGATTAACAATGTTTTGAACCTTATACCAGTTTCATGGATTAACAATGCCTTGAACAATATACCAGTTACATGGATTAACAATGCCTTGAACCTTATACCAGTTTCATGGATTAACAATGCCTTGAACAATATACCAGTTACATGGATTAACAATGCCTTGAACAATATACCAGTTACATGGATTAACAATGTTTTGAACCTTATACCAGTTTCATGGATTAACAATGCCTTGAACAATATACCAGTTTCATGGATTAACAATGCCTTGAACCTTATACCAGTTTCATGGATTAACAATGCCTTGAACAATATACCAGTTACATGGATTAACAATGCCTTGAACAATATACCAGTTACATGGATTAACAATGCCTTGAACAATATACCAGTTACATGGATTAACAATGCCTTGAACAGCAGTGTAGTTGTATGATTCAACACAATCTTGCTCTGACACATGTTTCTCTGTGAGTTGTCAGAATTTGATAGTGAGCATGGTTGCTCACTATATAAATCATTGGTTTATCTGGTCCAGACAGCCATCAAATAGCTGTAATACTGCTGAGTGTGGTGTTACACAACAAGACAACAGCGTGACCTCACCGTCGCCCTCCAGGTTGAAGTAGGAGGAGATACACTCGTCCGCGCTGTAGTTGTGGGCTCGCAGCGAGGCCAAGATGTCCATACGATCCTTCCACTCAGGGAGCGCCTCCTAAACACACCAACAAAAACATACGTACGTAAAACATTGTGTCGTGACACTGAGTGATTCAGAAAAGATGCAAATGTTTTTATTTGTGATTTCTTGGAGATGCAAAAAGGTATACTATTTGAATCATTATGAATTGTGGGTTGTTACATACAACTCATATTTCTTGTAAAAAATACACTCAGGAAGGTAAGGAGGTCAGGATGTGATGACCAGACTGCCACTCACAAGGCCATATTGAGTACTGAGTATTGAGTAACCTCCAGTGTCCAGCCTACTCAGGTCCATCCCAGCCAGACTGCCACTCACAAGGCCATATTGAGTACTGAGTATTGAGTAACCTCCAGTGTCAAGCCTACTCAGGTCCATCCCAGCCAGACTGACACACACAAGGCCATATTGAGTACTGAGTATTGAGTAACCTCCAGTGTCAAGCCTACTCAGGTCCCCCCCAGCCAGACTGACACACACAAGGCCATATTGAGTACTGAGTATTGAGTAACCTCCAGTGTCCAGCCTACTCAGGTCCCCCCCAGCCAGACTGACACACACAAGGCCATATCCAGTAATACATGACAGCCATTGCACGCTCACCTCCACTTGGTCCACCATGTTCTTGATGAGCTCGTGGTGCAGCTCCCAGCCAATTGGAAGTTTCACCCATGACCCTGAGTCCTTGTCATAGTAACAGTGACTGTACTGCTTCTCCTGAAACATGCGAGTGAGTGAGTGAGTGAGTGAGTAACATTCAGAACCATGTTTGGTTTTGCCACATCAGTGTCTGTTTTTGCAATAAATATCTAATTCATCTAAAATACAACATCCCATTCATTACCTTTCTCCACTGACCCCATCCCTGGACACTAAAACCCCCATCCCTGGACACTGAATCCCCTATCCCTGGACACTGAAACCCCTATCCCTGGACACTGAATCCCTATCCCTGGACACTGAAACACCATCCCTGGACACTGAATTCCCTATCCCTGGACACTGAAACCACATCCCTGGACACTGAAACCACATCCCTGGACACTGAAACCACCATCCCTGGACACTGAATCCCCTATCCCTGGACACTGAATCCCCTATCCCTGGACACTGAAACCACATCCCTGGACACTGGATCCCCTATCCCTGGACACTAAATCCCCTATCCCTGGACACTGAAACACCATCCCTGGACACTGAATCCCCTATCCCTGGATACTGAAACACCATCCCTGGACACTGAAACCACATCCCTGGACACTGAATCCCCTATCCCTGGACACTGAAACCCCATCCCTGGACACTGAAACCACATCCCTGGACACTGAAACCCCTATCCCTAGATACTGAATCCCTCATCCCTCGACACTGAATCCCCCATCCCTGGACACTATCCCCTATCACAAGCCACTGAATCCCCTATCACAAGCCACTGAATCCCCTATCACAAGCCACAAAATCCCCCATCCCTGGACGCTGAATCACCCATCACTTGCCACTGAATCCCCATCACCTTCCACTGAATCCCCATCACCTTCCACTGAATCCCAATCAATTGCAACTGAATCCTCTATCCCTTCCTACTGAATCCTATATCACCTCCTACTAAATTCCCCATCACTTGCTATTTCAGAAAACCAGCAAGACTCACAGTAAACATATATGTGGTGATCTGTCCCCGGCGTGGGTGGTTGATGACGCCTTCTCTGTCGTCACGGTTTCTTGGTACGTTTGAGTTCGCTGGTTGAGACTGAGACCTTGACGAACTGGCACCTTGACCTCTCCGATTCTGCAAGGTCAAAAGACAATGATTAGCCAAGTTTGGTCAACAGGACAAGATTAATTAACAAAGAGCAAATCATTCACAACTGAAAACTGTAGAAAACGTGTTAAATGTCTTAAAATTTGAAATTTTTCACCTTGATTCTAGATATCTTACGAAACAATTTTCTACTTTTTAAACCTAAACAGAGTTTTGACTGATGCTGATCATTTTAGTAAGCGATAATCCAAACAAATGGTGACACGTTCAACAATTTTAACAGCCAAAAAGAGCATTTAATATGCCACATCCTTTCTCATACTTTTAATTAACTTAGATATTCCAGTCACTCAAAAAGAGCAGTTTTCATGTTGTATTCTTTCCATAACTTCAAACTTCGACATTCAGGTAGGTCAAATAGAAAACCTTTCATGTACCTGGATATGTTTCCCCCTCTAATATCCCCCTTACCTGGTGTTCCTTGGTTACAGCATTGGTGGTCAGCTTCCCCTGCTTGTACCAACGCTCAGGGAACGGCTGCCATTCCTGGAACCAAAACACACTTGACTGACAGGTATCCATGACAACATATATTTACTGAATTAGTGTTTCTGTAGATCAACCTTTTCAATGATGATGATTATTATTGTTGGTGTTATTATTGTAATTATTATTTCCACCAGACACTGACCTTGGAATGCCAGTCGTCCAGGTAGAACCTTAGCCCTCCTGTGTACAGGCACTGGTACTCTCGTCCACTTTCATGTTCAAATGTCTCGAACACTATATCTTCCCCTGACTGAAATTACAAAGGCAAACATCAAACACAATTCTTTCCGTCACATACCAGTGAAGGCAACTCAATAATACATGAACTTCTTGGAAAAGGTTGATGCAATTTGCAGTACATCTGATTGGCTAACTGAATTTAAATAATGTAGACAGTACATCTGATTCACTAACTGTATCAATATGAATAATGTAAGCGAGGGTAGAACTACCCCAGTACTTGAGCTCCATGCAGTTTCTACATGAAAAGCAAATGAGATCAGGTACCAAACAAGAAATTGTCAAATGGCAAAAACACCACTGTTAATTTTACAGATTCATGCAGTTTGATTACTTTAGATATAATAACAGACATCAGCTAAACATGAAGGCTGTGATATTAGATATGTAGATCCTATGACAGAAGAGACATTACTAAACATTGAAGGTGCAACATAAAAATATATAGCACCATAAGCACCTCTGTGACAGAAGAGACATCACTAAACATTAAGGATGTAATAATATGACATATATAGCACCATAAATACATCTATGAACTATAGATCAAGGGTGCAATATGAAATAGATAGCACCATAGGCTCCTCTGTGACAGAAGAGACATCACTAAACATCAAGGGTGCAACATGAAATATATGGCACCATAAGCACCTCTGTGACAGAAGAGACATCACTAAACATTAAGGATGTAATATGACATATATAGCACCATAAACACATCTATGAACTATAGATCAAGGGTGCAATATGAAATAGATAGCACCATAAGCTCCTCTATGACAGAATACATAAATAAACATCAAGGGTGCAATATGAAATATGTAGCACCATAAGCACCTCTGTGACAGAAGAGACATCACTAAACATTAAGGATGTAATATGACATCTATAGCACCATAAGCACATCTATGAACTAAAGGTCAAGGGTGCAATATGAAATAGATAGCACCATAAGCACCTCTATGACAGAATACACAAATAAACATCAAGCGTGCAATATGAAATAGATAGCACCATAAGCACCTCTATGACAGAATACATAAATAAACATCAAGGGTGCAGTATGAAATATATAGCACCATAAGCAGCTCTGTGACAGAATACATCAATAAACATCAAGGATGCAATATGAAATATATAGCACCATAAGCACCTCTGTGACAGAATACATCAATAAACATCAAGGGTGCAATATGAAATATATAGCACCATAAGCATCTCTGTGACAGAATACATCAATAAACATCAAGGATGCAATATGAAATATGTAGCACCATAAGCACTTCTGTGACAAAAGAGACATCACTAAACATTAAGGATGTAATATGACATCTATAGCACCATAAACACATCTATGAACTATAGATCAAGGGTGCAATATGAAATATACAGCACCATAAGCATCTCTGTGACAGAAGAGACATCACTGTAGATCAAGGGTGCAATATGAAATATATAGCACCATAAGCATCTCTTTGACAGAAGAGACATCACTTTAAATCAAGGGTGCAATATGAAATATATAGCACCATAAGCATCTCTGTGACAGAAGAGACATCACTAAACATTAAGGATGTAATATGACATATACAGCACCACACACACATCTGTGAACTATAGATCAAGGGTGCAATATGAAATAGATAGCACCATAAGCACCTCTGTGACAGAAGAGACATCACTGAACATCAAGGGTGCAATATGAAATATCAGAGACCATATATGGTCTCTGGAAATATATAGCACCATAAACGACTCTGTAAACTATAGATCAAGGGTGCAATATGAAATATATAACACCATAAGCATCTCTGTGACAGAAGAGACATCACTGAACATCAAGGGTGCAATATGAAATATATAGCACCTTAAGCATCTCTGTGACAGAAGATACATCACTGAACATCAAGGGTGCAATATGAAATATATAGCACCATAAGAATCTCTGTGACAGAAGAGACATCACTATAGATCAAGGGTGCAATATGAAATATATAGCACCATAAGCATCTCTGTGACAGAAGAGACATCACTGTAGATCAAGGGTGCAATATGAAATATATAACACCATAAGCATCTCTGTGACAGAAGAGACATCACTGAACATCAAGGGTGCAATATGAAATATATAGCACCTTAAGCATCTCTGTGACAGAAGATACATCACTGAACATCAAGGGTGCAATATGAAATATATAGCACCATAAGAATCTCTGTGACAGAAGAGACATCACTATAGATCAAGGGTGCAATATGAAATATATAGCACCATAAGCATCTCTGTGACAGAAGAGACATCACTGTAGATCAAGGGTGAAATATGAAATATATAGCACCATAAGCATCTCTGTGACAGAAGAGACATCACTGTAGATCAAGGGTGCAATATGAAATATATAGCACCATAAGCATCTCTGTGACAGAAGAGACATCACTGTAGATCAAGGGTGCAATATGAAATATATAGCACCATAAGCATCTCTGTGACAGAAGAGACATCACTGTAGATCAAGGGTGCAATATAAAACAAGAAGACAAAGTCATCAATATCCCCCGCAATGGCAAAATACTCTTCATGATTATGTCTACGAGGTATGATTATGTCAAATATTTAGGTGTGTATTATAGAAAAGTGGAAGGAGAGTATTGAAAGGTTTTTAAAGTCCTGCTCCAGAAAGGAGCACTATCACCAATTCCAAAACTACCAAAAAGGAACCAGTACACCACTAGACTAATCTAAGTGTCAAGTTTGGTGAAGAAATAGTTAACGGTTTTAGAATTTAGCTCCGGAAAAGTGCACTACCACCAATTTCGGTCTAAGTCAACTTGTTGCCACGGAAAAGTCAAAAATATTTTATTCAGAATTTCAAAACTACCAAAAGGCACCAGTACACCACCAGATCTATCTATGTGTCCAGTTTGGTGAAGAAATAGTGAACGGTTTTAGAGTTCTGCTCCGGAAAAGAGCACTACCACCAATTTCAGGCTAAGTCAACTTGTTGCCATGGAAACGCCAAAAATATTTTATTCAGAATTTCAAAACTACCAAAAGGCACCAGTACACCACCAGATCTATCTATGTGTCCAGTTTGGTGAAGAAATAGTGAACGGTTTTAGAGTTCTGCTCCGGAAAAGAGCACTACCACCAATTTCAGGCTAAGTCAACTTGTTGCCATGGAAACGCCAAAAATATTTTATTCAGAATTCCAAAACTACCAAAAGGCACCAGTACACCACCAGACCAATCAATGTGCCAAGTTTAGTGAAGAAATAGTGAACGGTTTTAGAGTTCACCTCCGGAAAAGAGCACAACCACCAATTTCAGGCTAAGTCAAATTTGTTGCCATGGTGCCACGGAAATGCCCAAAATATTTTACTCAGAATTCCAAAACTACCAAAAGGCACCAGTACACCACCAGATCTATCTATGTGCCAAGTTTGGTGAAGAAATATTGAACAGTTTTAGAGTCCTGCTCCGGAAAAGACAAATGTGCACGGACGGACGGACGCACGGACGGAGTCCATTTTAATACCCCCCGCAAAACGCGTTGCGGGGGATAAAAAATATATAGCACCATAAGCATCTCTGTGACAGAAGAGACATCACTGTAGATCAAGGGTGAAATATGAAATATATAGCACCATAAGCATCTCTGTGACAGACTGACTGACTGACTGTGTTTGGTTTATGCCGCTTTTAGCAATATTCAAGTAAAATCACGGCGGGGGACACCAGAAAATGGACTTCACACATTGTGCCCATGTGGGGATTCGAACCCGGGTCTTCGGCGTGACGAGCCAACGCTTTAACCATTAGGCTACCCAACCGCCCCCTCTGTGACAGAAGAGACATCACTATAGATCAAGGGTGTAATATGAATTATATAGCACCATAAGCACCTCTGTGACAGTAGAGACATCACTAAACGTCAATGGTGCAATATAAATACACAGCTCCAAAAATACCTCCAAAGCAGTGCAGACAGAAAGCACGCTTAAAGAATAAAATGAAAAATGTACAGTTCTTGTGAATAAATATTCAGGTTGGATGTAAAAAACATTACCAACAGTCTAACTATCTAATGCCATACGCAGACAAAAAGCTAAATGCAGCCTTGGTCTATTTGCACCCATTATCTTTTCATTCTTTCAATCAATACAACTGCGAGAATTAATGATTTATTAAGTGTCAATCTGTTTGATGTTCCTACAGGATACATCTATATGGGGATGATATCGGCACTGCGTTACCTAGTGCCACACTGGCTGTACCAGGAATATCTACAGGATACATCTATAAGGGGATGATATCGGCACTGCGTTACCTAGTGCCACACTGGCTGTACCAGGAATATCTACAGGATACATCTATAAGGGGATGATATCGGCACTGCGTTACCTAGTGCCACACTGGCTGTACCAGGAATATCTACAGAATACATCTATAAGGGGATGATATCGGCACTGCGTTACCTAGTGCCACACTGGCTGTACCAAGAATATCTACAGGACACATCTATATGGGGATGATATCGGCACTGCGTTACCTAGTGCCACACTGGCTGTACCAGGAATATCTACAGGATACATCTATAAGGGGATGATATCGGCACTGCGTTACCTAGTGCCACACTGGCTGTACCAGGAATATCTACAGGATACATCTATAAGGGGATGATATCGGCACTGCGTTACCTAGTGCCACACTGGCTGTACCAGGAATATCTACAGGATACATCTATAAGGGGATGATATCGGCACTGCGTTACCTAGTGCCACACTGGCTGTACCAGGAATATCTACAGGATACATCTATAAGGGGATGATATCGGCACTGCGTTACCTAGTGCCACACTGGCTGTACCAGGAATATCTACAGGATACATCTATATGGGGATGATATCGGCACTGCGTTACCTAGTGCCACACTGGCTGTACCAGGAATATCTGTGTGTTTTGATGTAAGGGAAGGCGTTACCTTTGACATGTTGTTTTTACTAACTGGTAAAT